TGACCGGAACGCTGGGCTCTTCTCCCGAACCGGCGGCAATATGGACAGTTCATCCGGCTGCCCGGTCGGTTATTCCGAGTACCAGGTGGTAGCTGATGAGGACCGGGATCGGCGGTTATCTTCAAGGCATGAAGTTGTGGTTCCAAGTCTGATGTTGCCTCAATAACTGCGGGCAAGTTGGAATGCGTCACGTATATTATCCGGAGAACGACGGATAAGTTCTGCCTTCAGGCCAGGGTGAGATAACCCCAGGATAAACTGTTGTAGTAACCCACCATCGATCTTTATTCTGTCTTCCACCGTGTAAATGTTTGTTGCGAGATCCCTGAGGCTCCCCAAAAACCGGCCCACGGACTCGCCGGGTAATTGCTTTCGCTCCCTGTATCTCTCTAACTTGAGCAGAGTTGGCTGTCTGATGTTGAAGAGGTCGTCCAAGATCGCCTACAGGGTGGTGGCGCTTCGATTGGGGTACCGGTTGACAGTAGTTGTCGTGCAGCAGAGTCGTCAAATAGACTGAGCAGATGCCGTCCGTACTGGGAAAGTGGTACTGCTTTGAGGTAGGAACGGGCTCAAAAAGACCACATGGTGAAATCGTCACCGGGGCAGGAGACATTGGGCGGACGCAGGGGGGGGCAGTTCGGTCGGGAGAAATAGGGGAATTCGATGTTGTCTGTGCAGGATGTACGACGGGAGGTTCAAACTAGTCTGTCTGATCCATTTCTGCTTCCATTTTCTTCCTTCGTTTTTTTGATCCCACCTCTGTTACCAATGTAGCGTGGGACGTCAGGAAGTCAGCGGTATTCGAGAGGATGTAGCGACGTTACACGTCGGTTCTGATATACGGACTGGTATTAATGAGTTCACACGGTACACACAGCATACATGCGCACAGGTCGGGCGGGACAGAAGAGAACACCGGAGCGTGGTAACGACACACGTGTATTCAACCGAAACCGAAACCGGAAGTCGGGAGTACAAAAGCTAGGTCAAGGTTGGTAGGGGGTGTACAAGCGGCTACTCTTTCTTGTCCGGGGCTCGTGGTGGTTCGACCATGGTACCTGCAATAGGGAGAGAGGGGGAGGGGGGAGACACATAAGCTCATGTGATAGACATGCATGCAGATACAGTCGAGTTTCAACAGCGTTGCACGGATTCATATTGAATTCCGCGCATTTTTCTGGCTACGTACAAGATGCTTTTATCTTGAGTAAACAACATTTTCCAGCGTCGATCGATATTCGGCGAATAAAAGAGATTTCTCGAAGTACTTGATGTTTCTAAAGTTCCCTCTTCATAAAAGTGAATGTCTTTAGATAGTGCGATTTCTTCCGCAGTTGCGTGGTTTCTGTGATTTGTTTAAGTGCGTTATTTTTCAAGTTCAGAAGCCACCCCGGGTCAGAAAAAGACGGTTACTGTAACGCAGTTGAAACCCGACTGTACCTGATTGTATGCCTATCATATAACATTATGCGTGCCTCTCCCTCCCTCTCCCCTATTACAGGTACCACGGACGAGGCACCACCGGCCCTGGACAGGGAAGAGTATCCCGCTTGTACACCCCCCTAACTGACCTTGACCCAACCTGGTACACCCCTCCTTCCGGTTTCGGTTCGAGTTAATACACGTGGGTTGTTGCTACACTCCGGTCTGCTTCCCTGTACCACCGGCCTGTGCGCATGTGTTCTGTGTATACTGTGTGGATTCATTAATACCAGTCCGTATATCTGCACATTTCAGAACTGACGTGTGCCGTCCTCTGGAACGTCGAATACCGATGACTTCCCGACATCCCACGCTACATTATTGAAAGATATCTTACCTTTCGACATAATGCAGTTCGCTTAAAATGGACAAACGCTGCAAGTAGGTCTGCGGATATATATAACAACACCCTGTGGTAGACACTTTTGTGCAAATTGCACGACAGTTTAATTCCCATATATGAATTTTTATATGGTTTTCTTTTCCTGGGTAACTTTCTTCGCGTACCTGGAGAAGCGTTATTCATGGCGCAGACACTTACTAACCTCCAATAATCAGTTCGAGTTTGAAGCAATGTTGTGCTTTCAGCATATAAATTGTGCTCACGCATCTATGTGAATGAACAAGAGGCCTATCCCGTCATTACCCGTATACGAACCCTCCAGTAGACGAAGTGTTCTCTGAGAAAATGCTTTGTATCAAGAGGTAGGCACCCGGACCATGTTTACAAGCATAACCCCCCCCCCCCACAAACGGTCTACAAAATAACCCGTCTAGAGTCAGTGTCTTGGGGGCTTGTCAAAAGATCCCGTGTGACAAATGTATATCGTAAGCTTAGCTTAATAATTATCATTAAATCAAAGAGAAACTTCATGCCACCAGCTTACATGGTTCGTTGATTCCCATGTTTACAGCATAACCCCCCCCCGATACAAACGGTCTACAAAATAACCCGTCTAGAGTCAGTGTCTTGGGGGCTTGTCAAAAGATCCCGTGTGACAAATGTATATCGTAAGCTTAGCTTAATAATTATCATTAAATCAAAGAGAAACTTCATGCCACCAGCTTACATGGTTCGTTGATTCTGCCTTTGCTTATGCCGCAGAGTCTAAAGAACTAACTCACGCGCATGACGGATGTGCCTCTTGGTGTTTTGCTCTATGTTGTTGTTAAGCAACTGAAGGTGCCGCACCACGCGCTTCACCTTCAGCTGGTGCGATATCCAACAAGTGATGAGCTGATGCACAAAACGTGGGGCAAAAGCGGCCGTAGAGCATCAGCAACCCCATGGGTAGCGTTTGTGTAATGTATAACAATGCCTCGAATATATTACCAACCGAAACATGGGGCAGACTAAAGCCGATCATTCAGTTACCTAAAAACACAATAAAATGGAGATTCTGCCTGGTACCAAGCAAGTCTCCCTTCAAAAAGGAATTGATACCCAAATGAGTGTATTTGTCGGAAACGTTATTATTATTATGCGTTTTTATAGGACCGATCTGGACTACCATGCAGTCACAGCCATGCGTCCCACCCAAATGACTGAAACCTTATTGCTACAGCATTTAATGTCAAAGCTTGATGTCGCGCGTGCAGGGCATGACGCCGCCAGCTATTTCCGAAAGACCTGGTCGTTCTAACGCTCCTCACGGGTTTTCAGTCTTAATTCGCGATAGAGTACAAGCTTCTCCACAGCCTGTCAGTCAAGTTGCACAATCCTACTGGAAAGTATGTCATTAACCTGCATGGTTGCACATCAGGAACTACATGTGTTGGAACAGTCAAGTACGTATAGCTTTGGCCTCCCAGCCCTACCTATTTTTAGCTTCTTCAGACGTCTCCGGTTGCTTCACTCACTATGAAAAATACCCTACACATTCCGCGTCCTATAGTCAGTTTCCCTACACACCAGCTGACCTAGTGGCTCCTTCTGATCACACTACTTTGGACCAGTTCATGTTCATAAGATTCAGAGAAGACGAAAAGCCAGACAGCTTCTGAAAAATTCAACAACCCTAGGCATCTGAATGAACTAGAAGTCCTCAGACTGTTCTACAAGAAACACCCACGTGGTTTCTTTGCCTTTATTTCTATCAAACAGGTCAGATTCCTGAGAATAACCACTGAATGCCCGAATTATAGCGAGACCCTCATCTCCACTAGATTCTGAGTAGACAGACAACGCCCTCTCCATAAAAAGCGCGTCACAGCCCCTCAGTAAAGCCAGACAACGTGAGTCAGCATTGGACCCAGTTCAGGCAGTCTCCCTCAAATAAAATAGTTCGAGGCAGTTGTATTTTCGCACCCACACTGTCGCACTCGCTTCTTCGGAATAAATATGTTGCGTTCTGTTCGTTGAATCCTTTTCCGGCACAAGGCACTGAGGAGGGGTCGGCATTCAGATAAACAGATTGACGAACCAGCACATAGAGCAGTTTCATCGCAAAACCACAATACTGGTTTTTTGGATTGTTTCTCTTTACTTCTTGCCCGGAAAGCTGAATTCAACTGCTGAACGATCCTTCGAAGACGTTTTCTTGCCGTGCACTAGCCTTTAAGCTGTTTTGTGCACGAAGAACCTCCACAGTGAAGAATATTAGCTCGAGGGCTCAGACGTCCAAAACAAAGTCCTGGGACCATGCAACGCCCACGAGTTTCAAAGGCATTCAGGAAGGCTTTACTGATTCCGCTGTGTCAGAGGTCCGCGAGATCCTTGGAGGAGGACGCTCGTGAATCTAGATCCAGGCTGCTAAGCATCATACAATGGGGGGTTAGTTTGCTGTTACATCTAGTTGGATGGGCACTTTGTGGCCTGCTATTCTGGGCAAGGTTATGTAGAGGACGACTAGGGTAACAGCTGCAGTTGGTGGTTTCACGACCTGTGCACTTCCCTCCATACCTGTATTCCAGTGCCCAATGAAACTGGACAGTATTTTTTCCTTTTGTGACTCACCGCAGCTTTGGGTACCCCAGTGCTCCGCAGTTGAACACTCACGTCCAATAGGACCGACTTTTTCCCCAAAAATCGATCCACCCCAGGGGTTGCTGGCTTTGTTTAAGTAAGCTCGGAGCTTCAACTCACACCCATACCGGTCCAACAACAAGTTATATTTCCACCGCCTCGTTTCTTATTCACAATTTCGTTTTGTAGCGCTTCCAGCTCTGGCTGACTGGCCTGTCTTTTGTGCGGTTAAAATCACTCGTGAGTAAGGTTTAAGGATCGCCCCTCAACTTCTTGGAACTGCCTGAAAACCCCCGCTTTGAAACCTTAGTGACGTAAAAAGGCTCACCCGACAAAACACAACAGACACAGTGCAAACGAACGAGTGCAAATTCACAAGGATCATCGTGCCACGCATTTCCGTCCTTGAATCAAGACTGTCTGATCGGCGTTGACCTCGCTGCTGATTGGCTCCACGAATGCCCAGCCAGCGATTCCTGGCTGCATTGACCGGAGACTTCGTAGCTTTGCTTGAGCGATTTTGGCGGAGTTGGTGGTGTAGTATGCGGTGTCTGTCAGTTTGGTTGATTTATATGTAAGTATTGGTGATGTACAACCTTACTTACGGGGCTTCGGCTCGTGAACTTTCTTTTTTCCATCAGCAGAAATTATCGCCTTCGGAGAATCAGTGTCCCGTGGTGCTTTCATAGCGTGTATACTACAGTGATCCCCAGGAAGTGTCGGGCATTCTAGTATTATTTTAGGAGTCTGAAGAAGTGACACCAAGTTTGAACGAACATCAGGCAACTCAAGAAGAGCACATTATTGTTGAACTGCTGACTCACCCGATGTCCTCTGGTGTGGCGAAAATATCTACCGTCGGTATCCACCAGCCGCACATGGCCAGTTTCGTAGTTTTGCAAGAACCGCCGAAACATTGTGTATCTAATTGAGAAAGATGTAAACGTCGGCCTTTTTAACGTTGGAGGTCGGCGGCGGAGGCCAGCACCTCAAATCTATCTGCAACGTATTGCTGCGCCTCCGATGATAAGCCCCCTACTTCAACAGATCACTGCATTCCGTTAATTCGTCCCATGTCAGACGTTGGTTTACGGTGAGCCTCGAGGCTCTCCATATAGAGAAAATCGCTCATTTTTTGGTAGTTGTGCTCCAGTGGTATGGCGTCAACATCAAAGTGCCATTGTAGCTTCAAAGGCAGAACCTCACCGGGCACTTGGTACAGTGTATGTTGTCTTTTATAGAAAGTCCACCAAACTCATTAACTGTGACGAATTCCTCGGTCTTGGCATTATCTGGTGGGACGCCTATTGTAATGATAGGAAGGCTTTTCGTAGTTGGAAAATCGTCAGGACGGGGCACAAGGGTTGAGATACTACGAGGTTGCTGAGACGTGCACAAAAGCACTCGAGATGCGGAGGTTGGGTTTGAACCACGGAAGTTCCGATCAGTAAGTCAGCGTCCTGACCACTCAGCTTTCTGAGGCTCATGTTGCTATCAAAGATGTACCCTCTGGACTTGAGCCAGAAGGTGGCCACCTGAATCTTTTGAATTATTGTGCCCAAAAGTCTGAACATTCTCCTTTGATGGATATCAAAAAGCCGTTTTGGTACCTGATGGTTTGGATGACAAGAAGCTCCAGAGGACGAGTTAAATGGATCAAGTGGAATAATCAGCAGACGTTCCTAGAATTTTTCACATCTTCCATGTTTTCAACCTTCAGAATCAACTATGCTTCCCGGTATGCATGAAAAGTTAGTTTCACCTAGTGTGGTTTCAACCAGGAGGAATTGGTCACCGAGTCTATAACAAAGTCACGGTCGAATCAGAAATCCAGTGCTTGGATGAGGTCTGCTGGGTTGTGCCGCAGACAAGTCCCCGAATTGAGTAGCACTTGGGATATGTATCCAGTGATCGTTAGCATCTGACATCCGACCGCGGTGCATGTGCTGGAGCTGGTTGCAGTAGGTTTGTTTGATTTCTGAATCCACAAACCTCCACAAGGTTACGGCAGTGAAGCATCAGTGCCAACACTGATGTTGCTGTCATTGATGATGATGATGATGATGACAAGGTTGCCGAGGTGGGTGCGTTTTGCATTCCATTGAAGAGCAGCAGCGGACAAATTCATGGTCTGGGTCCATGCAGGTATTCCAGAAAGAGCGATAGGCGGCGGTTGACCAGCGATTACCAGCCACAACTGATGGCAGTGTGGCCTATTTGATTCGGAGTCGGTGCGATGGTGGACACCATACAGTCAAACGATGACTGCTGTTCAGTAAATTGGCAGAGAAGTCTGATCGGCCCACATCTGTAATGTGCGCCTTTTATTGTCCGTGCTTCTTGTGACGACCCAAGACGACCACCTAACTGGGCCTCAGCAGCGTTTAGCCTAGTTAGCTGAGAGTTCATTCACCAGCAACCACAATAATGTCTAGGCTTTCAGCCCATCGTAAAAGAACACCTAATTTATCATAAAAACTCCTTGGTAGGTTCAGAGCTACAGTCTTCTGTGGTGTAAACCGACGTAGCAAAGTGAGATCGGCGAACTTCATTTGCTCAAGATCCACAGATTTTGTCAGACGAACTGCACGGAAGTGACTGTTAACATGTATTTATTCAAGTAGAGACGCTTCTGCTTAATCGCCCAGCACAACCTTCACTTCAGCATGTGTCGTCTGTGTCAACAGAGGTGTATAGGCAATCATTCCAGTTGCAGTACTTGCACTCTTGATTCTAACAAAAAACCTACATCAAATCAGGGGGCATCCATCGTACGGGCATAATCTACCTGTCTTGCTTGCTTCCGTATGCTAGGAAGCAAGATGGCTCAGTGGTTAGAGCGCGAATTTGCTGACCGTAAGGTTCGTGGTTCGAACCCGATCTCCGCCTCTCAACTTCCCTTGTCTAGGCTTGGACGACCTGGCAGTATCCCAGACGTCGTGCTTCCTTGCCGTAGCATGGCAGTTAGGCACCGAAAGGGTGCTACAGCTGAGCGATTCTAGTGCGCGAACATTAAAGGTAGCTAAGCAGACCAACTTTCAGGTTTTGAGAACTGTTGTACCTAACTGCTGTCCTTGCTCCAATGTTTTGGTGTCGGAAAAAGGCTCACCAACAAGGAACACATACTTTTTATTGCAAACAAGTGCAAAAGTTACAAGGAACCTGGCGCTATTTAAAGGACCTTTCCCGACCTAAAGCTGTCACCTTGACGTGGTGGTCGGGCTTCAGTGCTGCAATAATTACGCGGGCTACACTGTCTGGAACTTCGTTCCACAAGGTGCAACCATGCCAGGAAGGCTAAAGGGGAGCAGCCAGACCAAGAGCGGCGAGACCCCGTACTACGAGTAATCGTGCTACGAGGCGGTCTGGGAGTAAAGTCGTACTGTCCTCTGTGACAGGAGTGTGAGGGCAGTAAGGTGTTTCCCCCAGGCGACCAGCATGTCCATATTTATGGAAGCAGCGATGCTGCCTTCCCCCGAGGAAGGACGGGTTAGAAAAGGTCGGCCTCAAAAACCGCACACTCCGATCGCCCAACGGTTGACCGTGACCGCCGGCGCATTGTCCAATACGGTCGAAATACTCTTAAAACCAAAGAGCCCGGTGCTGCTCAAAAGGCACCTGCTGTGCGCATCCGCATCGGGAATGCCTTATTCCCTGCGCCCTCGGGTTAGGCGCATTGTCCAGGTCGAAATACTTTTAAAGCCAAAGAGCCCAGTGCTGCTCAAAAGGCACCTGCTGTGCGCAGCCGCATCAGGAATGAGACAGACCCTGCGCCCTCGGGTTAGGCCAACCCCTTGCAGCCGAGCAGGTCAGACTGTTGAGTCGTCGGCTCCGGGTAGGGTCCCCAAAGAAAACCCTACATTTTCCCACTGCCTCGTGGGTCAG